CCATACAGATTTTTTAGACGACCTCATGACCCGGGGCGCTTACTGGCCACTCTGTTAAATAAATAATTATTAATAATACAAGCGCCTATCACCTCATGACCCGGGGCGCTTACTGGCAACTCTGTTAAATAAATAATCATTTATAAATAACACCAGCACCTATCACTCAGTGACTTGGACCGTTTACTGGCCACTTTGTTAAATTAATAATTATTAATAATACAAGCGCCTATCACCTCATGACCCGAGGCGATGACTAGCAACTCTGTTAAATAAATAATTATTAATAAATAACACAATCGCCTATTACTCAGTGACTTGGGGCGCTTACTGGCAACTCTGTTAAATAAACAATTATTAATTAATAACACAAGCGCCTATCACTCAGTGACTTGGAGCGCTTACTGGCAACTCTGTTAAATAAATAATTATCAATAACACAAGCGCCTATTGCCTAATGACCCGGGGTACTTACTGGCTACTATTGAATAATAAAGTATTAAGAAATTACAAGAGCGCCATTTAAAAAGATCTTTGTCGTACTAGATATGCAATCAAAATTGTATTATGTTTAGTGTTAGCGATCAACTTTTTATTATTTAATAGTGTTGCAAATAAGTGACCTTGATTATCAGAAAAAAGGTGCTTGACATATTTATTAATAATTATTTATTTACTAGATTTGCAATTAGCGCCCCAGGTGATACGGTGATAGGCGCTTGTGTTATTAATAATTATTTTGTTAACACACTAATACACAATGCACATCTCGAAATTGCACTTAGTACGTATATTTGTTCATATTTAAACCATAAATATATATATTACGTTAACCGTTTAAAAAAACCTGAAAAGGTTATGAGAATCATATACATAACATGTATACATATACGTATATAGCAGACTCTNTTATACGGTGATAGGTGCTTGTGTTATTAATAAGTATTTATTTTTTCAAAAGAGTGGCAAGTAAGCGCCCCGGATCATCAGGTCTTCGGCGCTTGTGTTATTTATTAATAATTTTTTATTTCAAAGAGTGGGCAGTAAGCGCCTTAAGTCACTTAGTGATAGTCGATTGTGTTATTTATTAATAAGTATTTATTTAACAGAGTTGCCATTTAGCGCCCCGGGTCAGTGGGTGAAAGGTGCTTGTGTTTTTATTAATTATTCAATTAACAGAGTTGCCAGTAAGCGCCCCGGGTCATGAGGTGATAGGTGCTTGTGTTATTAATAATTATTTATTTAAAAGAGTGGCCAGTAAGCACCTTAAGTCACTGAGTGATAGGCTCTTGTGTTATTTAATAATAATTATTTATTTAACAGAGTTGCCAGTAAGCGCTCCGGGTCATGAGGTTATAGGCGCTTGTGTTATTAATAATTATTTATTTAACAGTGACCAGTAAGCACCTTGGGTCATTGGGTGATAGGCGCTTGTGTTATAAACAATTATTTATTTAACAGAGTCGCCAGTGAGCGCTTCAAGTCACTGAGTGATAGGCGCTTGTGTTATTAAAAATTATTTATTCTAAAGAGTAGCTAGTAAGCGCCTTAGGTCATAAGGTGATAGGCGCTTGTGTTATTTTAATAATTATTTATTAAAAAAAAGACCAGTAAGGGCCCTGGGTCATTGGGTGATATGCGCTTGTGTTATTTTAANTTTGTGTTAATAATTAATATTTTATTATTCAATAGAGAGTCCAGTAAGCGCCCCGGGTCATTGGGTGATAGGCACTTGTGTTATTATAATATTACAATTTTGAGTTTTCGCGTGTCTTTGGCAATGCCCCTTGGCTGCTGTGCTGTCTGCTCGACGGAACATTCTTCCTAGATCGTATAGCTATATATACGATCTAGAGAAAAAGTTCCGATATTGAATCCGCCTAACTCAACGCTGGCCATACAAATTTTCGTACTTCGGCGCTGTAGTACTCCAGTAGTCACATCTCCTTCAAATATGGCGTCGTGATGGAAGGCGCAGAACGGCACGAAAATGAGACCTCGGAACGCTACACTTTATATTCTTACATCATGCAGTCAACTGTGTAGGTCTAACCAGGGCAAATACATGGAGGCAGATGGCGCAGTGTAACGGAGGATTATGTTGGGCCAATATTGGCATCCCAATTAACCTATAAAGGACAGGGTTAAACAAATAATGAGAGATTTGAAAATAATATTTTCATATAAGTCTAATTCGTTACATTCATAAGTATAATTTATCTACAAATTACTCTTATTATTAAATACTCCCACTTCATTAATTATTCCACGCTTCAAAATTCTATATACTTACGAAATCTTTTTAAATTTAACAATAATAAACGCTATTCTTCTTCACCCACAGTAATTTATTAACTTAATTAAACTTGAGTAAATCTTCGTATTTAATACTTAATGTGAGTAATTACTGCTCTACTTTTTAACACACACATGCAATCTGAAATATACACAGTTATACAGCTGTTCCCAAAAAAAAAAAAACGTATATATGTATATACTTCTCTGCTCTCGAATCTCTCGATGCATACAAGGAAAAGCTAGGTAGACGATAACTTTCTTGTGTTAGGACCCAGAGCCTCATTACAATCCTAGCTTGGTACCACCTTGGCAACTCACATAGGCCCCAGCCAACTAGCTTGGGAGCCCTGCTAACTTTCGGATGGGGAAATAACAGACTGCTCGTTTTTACGTACGGCGCTGAAGCACAAGTAGAAAGAGACACAGCACTGAACGTGATTATCTGTCTTTCTCTTACAGTGCCTACGGTGAAGAGGTTGCATCAGCTGGCCTTAGTTTACTGACCCCCACCGTAAGCAACGTGAGAGAGAGAGTTTGAATTTTAACAAGATTTATTTAAATGCCAAGGATGATAGACCGTATCCGTATGGCAGAAGAAATTATTACAGAAAAGAAAATAAGAAAAAATACATAAAATTACATTGATTTTTGCTTGAACGCAAGTTAGACGAACGATTACATTGGCAAGAAGTACAGGGAACTAGTTACACAGTATAACTCGTTTACAATTTGCGCTCAATTCTCGCTCCTGTTTTAACTTTACTTGGCTTGGTAGTAATCTTAAATTGTACTCTCTAGTCGCTTTCAGAGCAAATGGTGCGCAGTAATGTGAGATAGAGAGAGAGAGAGAGACAGATGCCCACGTTCGATGTGTCTCTTTCTACTCGTGCTTCAGCGCCGTACATAAGAACGAGCAGTCTACATTTCTTATGTCTATAGTTTTTTTGATGGTGAAAAACATAGACACATATGAAAAACAGATATATTCCATGAGGCAGGTGGCGTTACCTCTGATGAGGCTTTCACGGATACACTCCGTGCTCGTACTTATCGAGGCGAGCGGATCGAGCTCCTCTAAATTTGCGATCGTTGTTCCCTGACAGCGCTAATGAGTCACGAATTGTTACGAGAACAATAGAACCTGAAAAAATATTTTTGTGCGAATGTAGTGAGTGCTTTGTGCTGTGAGTATTCGCCACGTACACAAGCTGAAAAAGCAATCGCAACAATACCTGTGCTAACATGTGAAACTAAACGATAGGTTTGTCTTTTGCTAGCAGACTGCTAAGCATTACTATCATCAGAAAGTTATGTGTTTATA